ATCCGCTATGGCCACTGCTGGCCGCGCTGTCCGCCCTCTGCTGCCCCTCGATGCGGGAGTCGAGCTTCTGGCCCAAGAGACGGGCCAGCGCCGCGCCGTGTTTGGCGCAGCGCTCCTCCTCCTCCTCCTCCTGGCGCTCCTTGTCGACCGACGCCCGGTGCTGCGGATCGATCTCGTGTAGCCTCTTCCGGGCCCGCTCCACCGAGGTTGCCCTATCCGAGCGGTCCCGGCGCCGGCTGTCCTTGCGGCTGGCCGACCTGGAAGCAGACGAAGGTCAGTCGCGGCGCCGGCGGTCCCGGTCCCTGTCACGGTCTCGATCGCGGTCCCGGTCTTTGTCACGATCTCGGTCCTTGCGCCAATCTTGCTGGTGACCCCGCTGGCCACTGGGACCGGGCGGTGGAGTTCCCCATTTTCCCATGGTGCTGCACTGTTGGTCGACGACCTTACGGACGACTGCACGCGTGGCTTGAGCCACAAGGGACTCCGGAAGGCTGTATACGAGCGCCCGCGAGAACCTGAGAGGCTAGCAGGAATTGTGGTACTCCATGATTAGTTCCAGCACCCAGACACTGATTTCGTCTGCGCTGGACCGAGCTGACGGCCCCAGAAAATACGAGCCAAGACCTGGGCCCGGCAGAGTCCGAAGCCCCCCGGAGGGCGGCCGATCCAGGGTAGGATAGTGCGCTTCTCGCGTGGTCCCCGGCCACATGCCCATGCACGGTTGGGATTGCGAGGCAGCCACAGCAGAGATTGGCCTCGAATCCAGATTTCTACATCCAGCCATTCTCCTACTTTGCGAGCCCCTTCAGCACCCCGTTGAGGTCCACTGAGTGCCACAGGAGATATTGTGAGGGAGAATGCCGCTTGCAGGAAGACCAGAACACACTCGCTGCAAAAGCGCCTGGAAATTGCAACGCAGTCGTCTACATACCTGCGCCACGAGATGTAGGTTCGAACGGGTCCAGGGCCCAGGTGAAAGCCAAGACGCCGATGACCTCCGCGATCGAACCATCGATGTTCCTGTTCCCCCACTGACACTGCGACTGCTGCCGAGGACACCACTCCCCCGATGCAGATGCCTTGCAGTGCGCGCAGGCGGCCGATTGCGAGGACGACGGTTATCAAGGTAAAAGCAATGAGTGCCCGGGCCAGGACAGAGAGGGGAAGATGCCACCAACCATTGCCGAATCCGTGCGCGGCCACTTGGGCCCGCTCTTGAGGCCCCTTGCGCACCAAGATTGCATTGCTGTGGCATCTCGCTCGGCATGCTCCTTCCACGTCGCGCCACAGGCCTGCAATTCAGCGCGACAATCTTCGAATGCTTTGTCGGCGTCAGCGACGACCGCACTCAGCTCTCCGAAAGGAGGAGCGCAACGCCGGAGACGCCTATCTGTGGCGGGCGCGCAGACCTCGTCTTGGAGATCCCGCAGTGCAGCGCCAACGGCTTTCATGCTCCAAACTTCCTGGGACATGTCGGCTTGTTGGAGGGCTCCCCGAACTCCCCGGGCTAAGATTTTTCCACGCGCGTTTCCCAATTCATCCCGACCCGTCGATTGTTCTTCTGAAGCAACTTTGCCCAAGTTTCGAACGCGTCCGAAAGCCTTCAGCCCGAAAGCACTTGCTTGTGCCATTGGTGAATACATAGGGAATTTGACGTACAAATCGCTGGCGCTAGTTGTGCAGTGGATGGCCCAAGAAAGAGGGAATCCCCAACTTTGCTTTAGCATTCTCCCATGTGCGTGCTTCCTCTTTTGTCATCGACGGTTGATGCTGTCAAATCGGCTCGTTCGCGATTGCAGTCTCGAGGGAGGCGGTGAGTTCATCAGCCCGGCCTGCCCGCAACAAGTTGGCCGCCCGATCGTCTGCTAGACGCACCTCGCTGGGCGCAAGCTCAAGAACTCCAGCCAGATCAATCTCGAACTTGGCCCATTCCGCGGCTGGGGTGGAAGATTTAATCGAAGTGCTGCGCCGCGAAGCTGCTTTCCCCCCGGGCCCGAAGACGCCTGGGCAGAAGTAGTCGGGAACTCCGAGATCTCCACTCCCGGTGTAGCTCACGTCGAAGGGCCCGTTCTTGGGGCCACACGTCCAAGCGCCGCGGCCCTTGCCACCTGCATAATTATCTGGGGAATTGCTGGGGCATGCCTTTGAACATATTCTGGAATACTGATTTGACATCCCGGAACGTTTGTTGGAATGAATGCAGTCGCTCCATTTTCTTTTTTTGGTATGCTGCATGACCAGATGACGTAGATACCATGCCCGCGTTGGGGCGCACCGCATCTGGTTGACGGGCGAGGAGGCGACTACAAGTTTGCGTGCCTCCCCAGTGCCAGGCCACCTGGAATCCGAAATGGGGGCACGTAGAGAGGCAACCCAATCGATTTCAACAGAAAGTTAATGTTGCGACGAAACCCAATACGGGGCGAGGGAATCTTGATCGCCAGGTTGGCCACGTCCATAGCCCGATACAGGAAGAATGCCAGATCCCCATGCCGCCATTTGGGCATCTGAAGCTGGGGGGCCGTTGTGGCCATGAGCGCCGCGAAAACCACAATGCGTTGCAGACAGAAAGGCCAGATCGGTCCCGCAACTCCTGCGGTAGCGTGCCGATGGGTTTGATAAGACGGTGCTGCGCCTTGAAAGGAACGGCGCCCTGGTTGACGCCGCATAGCTCTGGGCCCCCCCAGCGCTGACGAGCATCGGGCCCTTTGGTCGACGGCTGGGTGCCCCACGAGCTGGCAAGAGGGTCTCGTTTGCCCCGTCGCCACGAACTCGGCCGTAAACGACGGCCACGTTTGAACCTGACAGGTAGACAAGTTTGGCCATGACGCCGAAAAGCTGAAACAACATCCCGCTGGTTGCACAGGGGGCGCTCCATCCTGATCATTGTGGCCTCAATCGCAAACGCTTGGGCCTCACTTGGGGCAGTCATGATTGGGATCATCGTGACACTGCCCAGTGAACCTCGAAGGACTCTGTACATCGGGCGGCGCGCTTGGCTGTCGTCCGGCCAGAGCAAAGCCCCGATGTGTTCATGCGCCCGTGCTACATAGCCACCGCGGTCACTCCGTTGCAGATTGGCCTTTCCAATATGCAAGCCGCTATGACTGCTCAGCGCATACGTCGTGGCCACGGCGTTGAGGCCCCCCGCGCACGATGTGACGGCAGGAGCCTGGTTGTCGCTGGTGGCTTGCAGACCCTGCACCAGTGGACTCCTCGTCGCGAGCTGGGCGAGCCACGCCGGCGGCATGACCCGGATTACATACCCGTGTAGCCCACCTAGGGAGCTGCTTGCGAGCAGCAGCCACTCGGAGCCTGGCCGCGCCGCGCGCTGCCAAGAGATGGGTCAGCAGGGCGACGCTGGTCGCTTGCCGGTGGCATGGCCCCTGGGCAGGAAACGTGGAGTCAACGATACAGTATAGCAGCCAGTTGAGTTCAATGACGCCTGCAGTCTGTGAAAGTGCACTTCGCCACGCCCAGTGTACAGCCTCGTCTTTGTCCGGACCCGAAATGCTCCATGTGCACAATTTCATGTACCGCTGAAGTTCCGTCCCGCATTTTTATGATGTTGGTCGTGGCCATCGGACATGTGTAATTTGAGTGGAAATTTGAGCACGGACGCGTCCCATGCCAAACATGTTGCACGTTGTTTACCGCAAGCAAATAGAATTTGATGATGAGGCAGAGGAGGATGTAGTTGTGGAAGTAGAAGAGGGGGTATGCAATGACGGAGTAGACGATATAACGAACTCAAATGGAATAGTCCTCGACCGAACCTGCACCCCCCGACGGCCACCTTGCCCGGCTTGGGTACAGAAATGTGTAATGTATGTTTTAGGCGGTTTCCCCAACCACCGATTCACCTCCAGACCTACATCCAGGAACCACGCGTGTGCGCAAGGGTCCCCTTGCTTTAGCGCCCGGGTCTAACCCCCAAGCCGGTCTGATCCACGACGCCTGCGGCGAAGACGATGATGATGGTGATACCGGTAATGATGATGCTGATGATGATGATGATGCTGATGATGACGATGATGATGTTGATGATGATCGTGATGATGTGGATGATGATGATGCTGATCCTGGTACTGATGATGATGATGATGGTGATGGTGATGATGATGCTGATGGTGAAGAGAAGAAGGAGGATGATGAGGATGAGGATGAGGATGAGCATGAGGATGAGGATTCGGATGAGGAGGAGGAGGAGGAGGAGGAGGAGGAGCAGAAACAGGAGCAGAACAGGAGCATGAGCATGAGCAGGAGCAGGAGCAGGAGCAGGAAGAGGAAGAGGATGATGATGCTGATGATGATGATGATGATGATGATGATGATGATGATGCTGATGCTGATGATGATGATGATGATGATACTAGTACTGATGATGATGATGATGATGATGATAGTGGTGGTGGTGGTGGTGATGATGATGATGATGATTGTGATGATGATGATGCTGATGATGATGATGATGCTGATGATGATGATGATGATGCTGATGATGATGCTGCTGATGATGATGACGATGATGATGATGATGCTGATGCTGATGCTGATGCTGATGCTGATGCTGATGCTGATGATGATGTGATGATGATGATGATGATGATGATGATGATGATGATGATGCTGATGATGATATGATGATGATGATGATGATGATGACGATGATGATGATGATGATGATGATGATGATGATGATGATGATGATGATGAGATGATGATGATGATGATGATGATGATGATGATGATGATGATGATGATGATGATGATGATGATGATGATGATGATGATGATGAGATTGATGATGATGATGATGATGATGATGATGATGATGATGATGATTGATGATGATGATGAGGAGGAGGAGGAGGAGGAGGAGGAGGAGGAGGAGGAGGAGGACGGGAGGATGGGATTCAAGGCAGGGACGAGGAGGCATGAGGAGAGGAGGAGCCTGAGCCTGACGCTTTGGGCTGCGGGCGCCCCTGCCAGCGCCCGAGCCCATGGCCCCGCCGAACGCCGCCCTCGCCGTTGGCACGCTGGCGGTGCTGCGCGGGCTCCGCGGCCACGCGGAGTTGAACGGCTGCCTCGTGCGCGTCGTGGAGTGCGAGGAGGGCCGTCCCTCCCTCCAGGGGGGCCCTCTTCGCCCCTGGACCTCCGATGTTGTTTTCCTTCTCAGTCTGGACGCCTCTCTTCGATTCCTGCCCACCCACGGACACGGAGAGTGCCTCCGAACTGCGAGGCCTGGGGACGTCCCAAGCACCTCAATGGTGCGATGGGCAGTGGCAGTGCTGCGCTGAAGATATCAATGGTGGTGCTACTGTGCCGTGGAGCTGTGCTGTGCTTCTCTGCGCCGTGCCGCGCCGCACAGAGACGTGCCAGGGTACGCGCCACGGGACGTGCCAGTGGACGTGCCAGGGGACGTGCCAGCAGACGCGCCGCGTGATGTACCAGGGGAACGCACGGGAAGCTCTAGGGAACGCGCCACAGGGACGCTTCACAGAACGTGCCAGCGGACGTGCCAGGTATCAATGGTGATGCTGCTGTGTCAGGTGCCATGGTGTGCTTCTCTGCGCTGTGCCGCGCCGCGCAGCAATATGCCAGAGGACGCGCCACAGGACGTGTCAGTGGACGTGCCAGGGAACATGCCAGGGGACGCGCCGCGCGATGTGCCAGGGGGACGCGCCACGGGACGCGCCACGGAGCGTGCCAGGGGGGCGCGCCACAGAACGTGCCAGCGGACGTGCCAGGGAACGTGCCAGGGGACGCGCTGCGCGATATGCCCAGGGGAGGCGCCGGGGAACGTGCCAGGGATTGCACCCGAGGGTCACGATCCCCCGTGCATTACGCTGCGTCAGTGCTTGGTAAATGGCACGGGAGCCGCGCTCCCTGGGCTGCGATCCCTTGTAAATTGCGCTGCGTTCGCGCTGCCAGGGCCACGATCCAGTGTAAATTATGCTGGGTTGCGTTCCAGGAGGAGGAGGAGGAGCAGGAGGAGGAGGAGGGCCACAATCCCTGATACTTTGAGTCGCGTCTGTGCTCCCAGTGCTGGGGGCCCTGCATGAGTTGCGCTGCGCCCGCGCGGCCCGGGCCACGGTCCTTCGTGTGAATTGCGCTGCGTCCGCGCTCCTGGGCCCACGGAGTACAGTCGGGGCCCTGAAGAAGGAACCCTTTTCGTTGGGGAGGGGCTCCGCGTTCCTTAAGTGTTTCGCAGCTTGCCTCAGTTTTTCCTTATGTTTTCGATCGGAAATCGAAGTTTAACTTATGGAAAAAAGGGGCCTCGTTCCTTAGTTTGGGTTCCTTAGGTCAAGGCCCCGACTGTACTCCTCGGAGGTTGCCCAACATGAGCCCTTCCCCCCTTCCAGTGCAGGGGACAATGTTTTTCTGTAGGGGGATCTGTGCTCCGAGGGTTACCCCCCCCAAAAAAAAACTCTGGGCTGCCGCCGCTTCGTGGAAACAGAGCCCGGGGACGTGTCAGGGGACGTGGCAAGGGCGCGCCACGGAACGGGCAGGGAAAGCACCGGGGCATAAGCCAGCGAACGCGATAGAGGACGAGCCAAGGGACGCGCCGAGGGGGGAGGGGCACACGCCGTCCCGCTCAGGGGCTTTAGGAGCCCACATTGTGTGTTCACGCTTGTCCCGCTCTGGGGCGTTAGGAACCCATGCGTTTTCGCGCTTGTCCTGTTCTGGGGCATTAGGGGCCCACGTGGTTTCACGTTTGTCCTGCTCTGGTGCGCTAGGAACCCACATGTTGTCCCGCTTGTCCCGCCCTGGAGCATTAGGAGACCACGTGTTTTCATGTGTTCAGGCCACCCAAGGGAATACTCTACACGCGGTCGTCTGGGTCCCCCAAAGCGGGGGAGGCACAACAGCGAGAACAAACCAATGAGTCGACACCAGATGTGTAATAATTGGAGTCAATGTGAAGCAGGCTTTCGGGGGGCTCGTGAGAGGCTTCCTGGGGGCCCCAGGAAACATCTTTTTCGCGCTTGTGCCCCTTCTGTTGCGCTAGGAGCCCACGTGTTTTCACTCTTGTCCCGTCCTGTGGTGTTCGGAACCCATGTGTTTTCACGCTTTTCCCGCTCTAGGGCGTTAGGGGCTCAGGTGCTTTCACGCTTGTCCCGCTCGTGGGCGCTGGGAACCAAGTGTGTTTTCACGCTTGTCCCGCTCTGGGGCGCCAGGAGCTCACCTGCTTTTACGCCTTTCCCGCGCTGGCGCATTCGGAGCCATGTGTTTTCACGCTGATCCCGGTCGTGGGGCGTTAGGAACCTTCGTGCGTTCACGTTTGTCCCGATTTGGGGCGTTAGGAACCCACGTGTTTTGATGCGCTTCCGCATTCCCGAACCCCCTTGGGCATCCAGGGGCGCCGAAGCCCCTCAAGCTTTGCAAAGCATGTGTTTCGCTTGAGATGTACTCACCATTTCTTCGCGCAGGCCGCGCCATCCTAGCGCGGGCACGCAACAAGTCCCGAGCATTATCTTCGGGTGGAGGGCAAAGGATAAAATCTGAAATGCCATTTCGATTGATTTTCGAAGTTTGCATCTGCAAAAGGTGAGTCACAAGGCGGACTGATTCTCGAGGTGCAGGAGCCCATATGGATTTCATCCTGAGCCCTCCGCCCTACGAGAAAGCTCAGAAGTCGACCTAGTTGCACGGCCTCCAGACTCTGCGTTAATTGTCTAGGATTCTGCGCAAAGCGCGCCTCGCACCTTTTGAACGAATGAATGTGGGGGTCTGCGGACCCCGTTATCTACAATAGACCATCCGAGATGGGGGGCGCACCTTTCTCGAGCTGGCACGAGATGCTGCTCTTGAGCAGCTTGTTTTTTCATTGTTTTTTATCTTACGTCGGGCCTGTTCCTCTACATGAGGAATCTTCAAACATGGTCAAACATAGTCAGGGTTTGATTTCTTAGCATTGCTTTCCTTTTTAAACACATGTTTTGATTATTTTGAATTTTTCGTTCGGAACCCGCCTGCAGGGGAACATGTCCGACCCAAGTTTAATCGTGCGGAAATGTGATAGTCCTCTTCGAATTTGGCATCGGGGACAGTTTCACGTACTACAGGAGAGCCCCGGGCCGACGCCCTTACCGGGAAAAACAAACTACCCCCAGGGAAGGGGTCGAGACCTCCTTGGGGCCGCGGGTTGAAAATCACAGATCGGCGGATGGCAGGGCGCTCCTGGGGGCCCTCCGCCTTCCTCCGTGATCCTCAGGGGAGGAGTTGGTGCCAGTATAGCGCTGTCTTTGCTTCGTTTTCGCAATTGTGGGCCTTCCAGGAGGCCCTCGTCTCCACGGGTGGATTCTTGTTCATTTTGACAAACCTCGTTGTCGGTGTCGCCGCGGATGTTGTCCATTCAGGACAGAAGGTCACAGTTTTAGACACATCTGCTGTTTGGCATTGTACCATTGTTTCCCGTACTCACCTCGCGCGCGCCAATCGCTCGCTTGCGGAGTTTGCTGCCGTTAGGGTGTCCGCTCTCTTCTCATCCCCCCAAGACGTGAATTTTTTTGGACGAAGGATCCAACCATGTGCAATTGTGAGTAACGCGGTTGTGGGTATCGTCCTCGGTGAACCTTTCTTTGGGGCCACGAAACGTGTGACAGGTGTGCCGAAATTGGCACGGGTACGCCATGCGGACGCTGCCACCGGAGCCGTCGGTCACGATACGTGTGAGGGGTGCGCCGAAATCCAGAGTGGAGCCGCGTGCTGGCGCTGCCACTAGGGCCTTTCGCGGAGCTCACCATGGGGCCACGACACGTGTGAGGGGTGCGTCGACATGATGCGACATGATGGGTGGAACTGCATGCGGGCGCTGCCGTTTGGGTCTTCGGTGGAGCACCCTATGGGGCCACGAAACGTGTGAGGGGTGCGCTGGATTGGGAGTGGAACTGCATGCGGACCCTGCCAATCGGGCCTTCGGTGGAGCACCTGATGGGGCTACCGAATGTGTCATGAAGGGGTGCGCCGAAATGCAGGTGGACGTACGAGGGGTGCGCCGAAATGGTGGCAGAACTGTATGCGGACCCTGCCACTGGGGCCCTGGGTGGAACACCCTGTGGGGCCAGGAAACGTGTGAGGGGTGCGCCGAAATGGACGTGGAACTGCATGCGGACCCTGCCGCTGGGGCCTTCGGTGGAGCACTCCAGGGGCCACGAAACGTGTGAGTGGTTCGCCGACATGGATGTGGAACCGCACGCGGAACCTGTCACTGGGGCCTTCGTTGGAGTACCCTATGGGACCACGAAATGTGTGTGACGGATTCGCCGACATGGAGGTGAAACTGCATGCGGACTCTTCCACTGGGGCCTTAGGTGGATCACCCTATGTGGCCTCGAAACGTGTGAGGGGTGCACCGAAATGTGGGTGGAACTGCATGTGGACCTTGCCACTGGGGCCTTCGGTGGAGCACCCTATTGGGCCACGAAACGTGTGAGCGGTGCGCCGAAATGGAGTTGGAATTGCATGCGGACCCTGCCAATCGGGCCTTCGGCGGAGCACCCTAGGGGGGGAATAATGAGGTTCCCGGGCGCGAAAATCGCTCCTACCCTGGTTTACGAGGCGCTGTGCGCAGAACCTCCCGTGGGTTAACAGGGTGAACCCTGCGTGATGTGCGGCGTCCTGGCGGCTCTCTGGGCTTTGGGAGTCCCCAGGAGGCTTACAAACCACGCACTTGTAACCAAGGTCAGGGCCGTTGTTTCATCCCTCATGGATCTCAGGGGCGGCCCCCGATCTCCCCCTCCCCTTCCCCTCTCCTTCTCGGCTCGGGGGTGGAAAGAACCCCCACCCTGACACGTCGATAAATGAATTGTCCGTGTTCGGTTCTCCAGAAGGCGCCGCGGCCATCATTTCCAGGCCTGCGCCCGCCAGGTTTGGGCCCGAGGTCGTTTCCACTAAACCACGTTTTGCTAAAGGGGGTTCTGTCCATCCCCGACTTGTCGAGGCTCAAGAAACGGGGGTCACTGCAACCGGGGGTCAGTCGGAGCGCCGGATCTTTCAGGATCCTGCAGGGCCAAGGGCGCGCTGACCTAGGTTTGGGAGCAGGATCCTGCCGGATCCCGCGGGATTTTGCAGGATCATGCAGGGCCTGCAGGGGTTCTGTGCATCCCCGATCGGCACCGCCCAATTCTGCCTGTGCCTTGTGCGCGTCAACGCCCCGCGAGGAGGCGACGCGCGCGCTCTTGGAGACATCTCTTGCAGTGTAGGAAGCTCCGCTGCGGGCACTCTCGGGCCCTGCCCTCGGGAAACGATTATTTATCGGAGGCCTCCAGATGGTCACCAACGCCAACACAGGGGGCCGCCCCCACGGTGGGAAGATGATCCTAGATTTCGGTGTCGGTGGTAATATTTTTTTTCACACCTTGGCTGCCAGAATCTTGCCACCATCACCGAGATCGGGATCCTCTTCCCGCGGTGGAGGAACATCGTTGATATTGGTGTTGGTGTCAACCTCTAGGCCTGCGATTCTAGGCCTCCTAGATGGGGTCGGAGTAGATGGGGTCGGAGGATCGCACCGCATCGCCGATGCAATGGCGATGCGGCTCTATGCGGAGCCCGATTTGCTTCACGTCGACGTCGCCGATGTATCGCCGTCGTCGACACTGCATCGCCGCTGTATCCCCGATGCGTCGACGAGGCATCGCCGATGTAGCGGCGATGTAGCGGCGATGCGGCGCGATCCTCCGACCACACCTACGCGGACCCCATCTAGGGGGCCCCACAGGGGCCGAGGAGGAGGAGGAGGACCAGTGTGAACCCACGAGGCATCAACGATGTTGAAATACACCCTCCCTCCAAGCTCCCTTCTCATAGGCCCCTACAACGGTTCACTTTTACAGAGGGAGCTGCCTCGTTCAAAGACAACTGTTTAAAGACCATGAAGCATGCCAAGACATTGTTCTCGGGATTCCAACGCCACGGTTCTACCTGATTGTTGCGTCTTGACGAATCAGAATCGTGCCAGAACGCCATTCTTGGGACTTGAACACCGCGAACCAACATAACTTGTACTTCAAAATCACCATGTCTTGTACGGTGATCAATGGAATCCGTGAGTCCCTTGCAATTTGTTAATGCGCATGTGCGCGTCGCTAAAGCGAGAGCCACGTCTAAAAAACGACTCGCCCTCGGTCCGTGAAGCTCTTGCAATTTTGCCAAATGAATGTGCGCGGCGCTAAGGCGAAAGCCACATCTTGAAAACGACTCGCTCTCAATCCGTGAAGCTCGTTCATTTTTCTCAGACGAGTGTGCGCTGCGCTAAGGCGAGAGCCACATTTTGAAAACGACTCGCTCTCAACCCGTGAAGCTCTTGCAATTTTCTAAACCGAACGTGCGCGGCGCTAAGGCGAGAGCCACAGTTTGAAAACCATCCGCCCTCCATCTGTGAAACTGGTGCCACTTTTGAAGATCCAGAGTCATACATGGTGAGCAAGTCCCAGGCGAAACGCCCGGCCCGCCCTAGCAACTGGCTTCGGGGTGCGACAGGAAGAAATAATTGAATCGCTTCGCTCATTCCGCCGGCCCATATTGCGCGCCGTTGCCGACTGACCGAGTGGTGACGCCGATGATGCTGAAGATGAGGATGCTGATGATGCTGATGTTGATGATGATGATGATGATGATGATGATGATGATGATGATGATAATGATGACGATGACGATGACGATACCGATGATGATGCTGATGATGATGCTGATGCTGATGATGATGATGCAGATGATGCAGATGATGCAGATGATGCAGATGATGATGCTGCTGCTGATGATGATGGTGATGGTGATGGTGATGGTGATGGTGATGGTGATGATGATGATGATGATGAGGATGAGGATGAGGATGAGGATGAGGATGAGGATGAGGATGAGGATGAGGATGAGGATGAGGATGATGATGATGATGATGATGATGATGATGATGATGATGATGATGATGATGATGATGATGATGATGATGATGATGATGATGATCATGATGGCACTGATGACGGTGGTGATGATAATCAGTGTTACAGTCCTCCATACTGGAGCTGCGTTCGATTAGCCTTCGGCCCATCCCGCCAATGTGCGTGGGTTGTGGGTGAGAATCCTCGGGGATGCTTCTTGGGTTTGGGGCTTCTTCGGGAACGAACGCATAGGGAATTATGTTTTCTTGCTTGTGGGGGCCCTCTCGGGAGGCTTCCGCTGGGGGAGTCTTGAACGCGTCGCGGGCCGCCTGGAAGCGTTTTGCTTATGAGGACTCTTTCGGGACGCCTCTCGGTTGCCTCTTGGGGACTCTTACACGCGTCGGGTCGTTGGCACTTGCTTGCGTGCTCGGGGGGGCATTTGGGGGGCCTCCTAGGGATGCTTGCGGGCCTCTTGCGTGCCTCCTGAGAGCCTGTCGGGGGCGTCTTGGGGTCTCTCAGGGGCCGCTTGGGGAACTCCTGGGGCCTTCTTAGGGCCGAGAGCTGGAAATGTTGATTCGTGCTCCCCCCCTGGGACCTCTCTTGGGGCGTTCTTGGGGCCTTCTTGGTCCGTCTTGGAGGCCTCTTGGGCCGTTTCGGAGCCCTCTTGGGCCGTCTTGGGGCCGTCTTGGAGGCCTCGTGGGCCTTCTTGGGGCAGTCTTCTGGGCCTCTTGGGCCGTCTCGGGGTGTCGGGAAGCCGAAAAGGTGGAAACGCCTAAATCTCTCCAATACCTAAAGAACAAACAGTGATTTTTGCCTCTTTGGGCCCTCTTGGGGCCGCTTGGGGGCCTCTTGGGGGCCTCCTGAGAGCCTGTCGGGGGCGTCTTGGGGTCTCTCAGGGGCCGCTTGGGGAACTCCTGGGGCCTTCTTAGGGCCGAGAGCTGGAAATGTTGATTCGTGTTCCCCCCCTGGGACCTCTCTTGGGGCGTTCTTGGGGCCTTCTTGGGCCGTCTTGGAGGCCTCTTGGGCCGTTTCGGAGCCCTCTTGGGCCGTCTTGGGGCCGTCTTGGGGGCCTCGTGGGCCTTCTTGGGGCGGTTTTCTGGGCCTCTTGGGCCGTCTCGGGGTGTCGGGAAGCCGAAAAGGTGGAAACGCCCAAATCTCTCCCAAACCCAAATACAAAGCAAGGATTTGTGCCTCCTGGCGCCCTCTTGAGAGTGCTCTGGGAGGCCTGTTGGGCCGTCTGGGAGCCATCCTGGGCGTCTTGGAGCGATCTTGTGGCATCTCGGAGCTCTCTCGTAGATCCTCTTTGAGGGGCTCTCTGGACGGCCTCTTGGCCTTTCTCTTGGGGCTCTCTGGACGGCCTCGAGGGCGGGCCCCCAGGGAGAAAACCAGGTCTGACCCAAGCCGCCAGGGGCCTGCCCGGGGTGTTTTTGTCCCCGGGCCCCCCCCAGGGGCCGCCCCGCGCGCGCGACGTAGAAGAACTGGCGAGCAGTTGCCGGAGATCTTGGCACGCCTCTGGCCCGTTGGGCCGGCGGATTCGTATGGAGAAGGAATGGAGGAGGAATGGAGGAGGAGGAGGAGGAGGAGGAGGAGGAGGAGGAGGAGGAGGAGGAGGCCTCTAGATATACGATGCTATTCGTGTGCTACACGCTCGCGTCGGGTGTCCCATCCTTCCTTCCCTCCTGCCGCCTGCCCGCGGAGCCCGCCGTAGGAGGGCGGCAGGCGCTTCGCGGTGCAGTCCTCGGAGGAGGGGCAGACCCTCCGGGTGAAGAAGGACGGCGCCCGCCCGGTGTCGATGGCCCCTAAGGCCCTAGATGGGGTGGTGACCACACCGTGTGGTGAGTCGGTGGGGATTTCGGGTCACCGCACGGGTTTGGGACTCGGGCCCCTCTCCGAGGACGTCTCGGGCGACAGGGGCCTCCAGGGTCCCAAGACCGTGCGGTGACGGACCGTACGGTGAGGTCTCTTGGGGTTCCGAGGCCACCGCACGGTCTGTCACCACACAGTTTTTAGGGATCCCCAACAGTGCCCCAGGGCCGCCCAGGCGTGCGCGCGGGACGCTTTCGTGAGCTCCTGCGGGTGCTCCTGCCTCGAGGCGCGTTATCCGACAGCTCTGCGCCGCGTCGAGAGCACTCTTTTCTCGAGGGCTAAAGAACCCCCAGCCCCGAATAACGCCATGGAGGCGCAGTCTCGCCGAGGTCCCCGTCCTTGCATTCTGGGGTAGTCCGTCTGCGCGGTGTGGTTCCATACAGCTGCAGAAAAGACCCCCCCTCCTTCCCTGATGTTTCTGGCCCTCCTGCTTTATGTCCTCTCCCAGATGGTCACTTTGCATGTAGCTTTCCCTCCGCGCCTTCCCCCTCTTCCCCCCCCTGCCTCCTCCAAGCGTGCTGAAGCGGCATTTTTCCGCGGCGCATCCCACGCATGTTTCTTTCTTACGAAGCGTAGCCAACCGCGCTCTCTTCTGCCTGCGCGTCCTGCCGGATGCCTGGCTCCCTTGCTGCCCAGATGCCAGGGGCCCTCCTACTGCGAGGCATTCGTATGGTGCCCGGGGCGTCCCGGTCGGCCGCCGGAGGCCCGAGGGCCCCCCCCCTCCCAAAAAAAACCAGGCGCCACGGGGCCCCGAAGCGGTGCGGTGGCCACACCGCGTGGTGTCACAGTGCCCCAGGCTGCCCGAAGGGCTACGATGCTCCAACCCACTCAAGCCTTGACCGCCAGGAAGAATTTCGAGCGCCAAAAAAACAACAGGCGCTGCGGGGCCCCGAAGCGGTGCGGTGACCACACCGCGTGGTGTCACAGTGTCCCAGGCTGCCCAAGGGTTATGATGTTCCAACCTACCTAAACATGGATCACCAGGAAGAATTTCGAGCGCCCAGAAAAGCACTCCAAAACTCAAGGGTTTTCGCGCGTCGGGCCCTGGGAGACACTGTTTCGACACTGTTTCGACACTCTTTTGACACTTTTTTCTGGGTGCTCAAAATTATTTCTGGGATGTGGTCCTTAAGTAGGATGGGAACAACCTAACCCAAGGGCCAGTTGTGAGTGGGGCACGCCTCATCTACAGGAGGAATATTCAAACATAGCAAAACAACAAATTATCCCTGCGAAAGGCCCCACCATGTGCGGCTGTGTGCAGCGTAGTTTTGGGTATCGTCCTCGGTGAACCTCTCTCTGGGGCCACGACGCGTGTGACGGGTGTACCGAAATTAGCGCGGGTACGCCATGCGGACGCTGCCACCGGAGCCGTCGTTTCAGCTCCATGTGAGGCCACGAAACGTGTGAGGGGTGCGCCGAAATGCAGGGTGGAATCACGTGCGGGCGCTGCCACAAGAGCCTTTGGGGGCCACGAAACCTGAAAGGGGTGCGCCGAAACGACGGGTGGAACTGCATGCGGAACCTGCCACTGGGGCCCTGGGTGGAACACTTTATGGGGCCACGAAACGTGTGAATGGTGCGCCGGAATGGAGGTGGAACTGCATGCGGACCCTGCCACGGGGGCTTCGGTGGAGCACCTTCTGGGGCCACGAAACGTGTGAGGGGTGTGCCGAAATGAGGTGGAACTGCATGCTGACCCTGCCTCTGGGGCCTTCGGCGGAGCAAATGATGGGGCCGCGGAACGTGTGAGCGGTGCGCCGAAATGGGGGGGTGGAGCTGCATGCAGACCCTGCCACCGGGGCCTTCGGCGGAGCACCCCATTGGGCCACGAAACGTGTGAGGGGTGCGCCAACATGGAGGTGGAACTGCATGCAGACCCTGCCTCCGGGGCCTTTGGCGGAGCAAATCATGGGGCCGCGGAACGTGCGAGGGGTGCGCCGAAATGGGGGTGGAACTGCATGCGGACCCTGCCACGGGGGCCTTCGGCGGAGCACCCTATGGGGCCACGAAACGTGTGAGCGGTGCGCCGAAATGGAGGTGGAACTGCATGCGGACCCTTCCACTGGGGCCTTCGGCGGAGCACCCTCTGGGGACACGTATCGTGCGAGGGGTGCGCCGTAATGGGGGTGTAACTTCACGCGGATCCTGCCACTGGTGCCTTCGGTGGAGCGCGCCATGGGGCCACGAGACGTGTGAGGGGTGCGCCGACATGGGGGTGGAACTTGGGTGGAGCACCCTGTGGGGCCACGAAACGTGTGAGCGGTGCGCCGAAATGAAGGTGGAACTGCATGCGGACCCTGCCACTGGGGCCTTCGGCGGAGCACCCCATGGGGCCACGAATCGTGTGAGGGGTGCGCCGTAATGGGGGTGGAACTGCACGCGGATCCTGCCACTGGTGCCTTGGGTGGAGCACCCTAATGGGCCACTAAACGTGTGAGTGGTGCGCCGAAATGGGGGTGGAACTTGGGTGGAGCACCCAATGGGGCCACGAAACGTGTGAGCGGTGCGCCGAAATGGAGGTGGAACTGCATGCGGACCCTGCCACGGGGCGTTCGGCGGAGCACCCTATGGGGCCGCGGAACGTGCGAGGGGTGCGCCGAAATGGAGGTGGAACTGCATTCGGACCCTGCCACTGGGGTCTTGGGCGGAGCACCCCATGGGGCCACGACACGTGTGTGGGGTGCGCCGAACTGGGGGGGGAGCTGCATGCAGACCCTGCCACTGGGGGCTTCGGTGGAGCGACCCATTGGGCCACGAAACGTGTGAGCGGTGCGCCGGAATGGAGGTGGAACTGCATGCGGACCCTGCCACTGGGGCCTTCGGCGGAGCACCCTATGTGGCCACGAAACGTGTGAGGGGTGCGCCGAAATGGGCAGGCGAGAGAGCAGAAGCAGGGATGGGAGGACGAGGAGGAGGAGGAGGAGGAGGAGGAGGAGGAGGAGAAGGAGGAGGAGGAGGAGGAGGAGGAGGAGGAGGAGGAGGAGGAGGAGTGGGAACGCGGGGCGCTGTCTGTTCAAAACGAGGACCCAACACCACTGGATGGTTGGGAAATAGTGTGGGGACTATTGTTTGAGACTATTTTTGATTCTTTTTTTGTAATATTTTGAATTTTGATTTCAAAGTCCGCCTGTAGGGGACATGCCCGACTTAATCCAAGGGCCAGTTTTCTATCCCCTGGCGATGTCGGCCGTTCCCGCGAGGGGACCGGTAGCGTCACGATTTGCGCCAGCGCAGTCTGGGAAGTGGTTCCCCCTGGCAATTCCCAGACAGTGCCAGCGCGAACCGTGACGCTACTTGGTGGGGTGGGGGAGGGGGGGCATACCCGGTAACGACAGTATAGAAGAGCGCTTGTCGAGCATGCCTGTGGGACTTGCGTCGGGGGTCCTCAGCCAGTGGTAACCACACCGCGTGGTGAGGCGGTGGGGATTCGTGGAGACCGCCAGGGCTCGAGCTACGCAACGAAAACAGAACTACGTTGAGCTCAACGCCCCGCACCTCCTGAGTGCATCAGGCAAAAACGACGACGGCAATCGAGGAAAGTGCTGCCCTTTCGCCTGACCTGTCCCCCTGCAGTCGGAGGCTGATCGGCAGGCCGGGCCCTGCCAAATTCAGGGCACCCTTGTGTCCTGTGTGCTCGCCACCCATGCCCCCCACGTTTTTGTGATAGCGTGGCCCTCGGAGGGGTCTTTCTGGCCTCTCCGCGTGCTCCCTCCAAGCAGCCTCCACCTGTACTCGTGGCACGGGCGGGCCCTCCCGTCCCCCTCGAGGGCGAGGGGCGTGCGCGCAGCCGCTGGAGAGGACAGCGCTCTGCGCGGTGCCTCGACCACGAGACATGCCGAGGTGCAGACGTGCACCGTGGCGCTCGGACTGGGCTCCATGGTGGCAACCCGAGAGTTGTTGAAACACTCGAGGAAGAAACAACGGCATACCCACAGGCTTTTGGCGCTCCGCGCGGAGTTCTCTTGGATCCGCGCTGGGCCCCCCCATTGCGGCGCCTCTAGCGCCGCCCCTGGCGCGCTCCGCGCGCCAGGGAGGGGAATCCAGCCCAGATCCAAGAAATCCGCGCGAAGCGCCAAAAGTATATGTTAATGCCGTTTTTCCCTCGAAACATTGAGAATCAGGCCTCCGGGGTCCACAGAGCAACCTGTACGAACACGTAGAACACGGTTTAGCTCGAGCCCTGGTGACCGCACGGGTTGTGGGACTCGGGCCATCCAGGACTCAGGGGACGCCTCGGGCGACCGGGGCCTCCAGGGTCCCAGGACGGTGCGGTAGCCGACCGAGCGCTGGGGCTTCTCTCGGGAGTTCGAGGTCACAGCGCGGTCCGTCACCGCACAGTGTTCGGCCGCCGAGCAGTAACCTCAGGAGGTCTTTAGCTATTGTCCCCTCCCCCATTTTTCTCTCGGCGGGGAATACACTCGCCCCTCCTCCTGCTCCTCTTCTTCTTCCTCCTCCTCCTCCCTCCTCCTCTCCCTCCTCCTCCTCCTCCTCCTCCTCCCCTTCCTCGTCCTCCTCCTCCCCCCCTCCTCCTGCTCCTCCTCCCTCTTCTGCTCCTCCGCCTCCAGCTCCTCCTGGGCTGCTCAAATGTGAGTTTGGGACATTCGGGCGGGCCCAGGACTGGGATCAGGCGCTCTGTGGCGTTCCAGGACGCTTTCAGATCGAGGGACAATCACGCCGGCGCTGGCCATGGTCCAGTTTGATGTCGCTGGATCTTGTCGACGCCGATCTCGGTCATGGTTTGTGCTGGGCGTTGTTGATCTGTGAAAATGATCCGCGAATTGGCGGTGGCCACGCCTGACGGGGCCCGGATCGACACCAACGTTCCTCTGTTCCCTCGTGGGTGTGGTCAGCATGCTCTTTTTCAGCAGAGGTTCTGCAGCGCTCTGGAACGGCCGCTGCGTC